TCTGACTTTTATAAGGTTCTGTGTTTGAAATCCACCAATGAAACACCAGAAATCCGGAAATCCTCCAATGGACAGACGGCCGGATTTCTGAATCGGAAATATTGGATTTCAATGGCGGCCATATTGAAAATCTCATATATAAAATCGTTTATATACAAAAACAGTGAATACTTAAGGATTTCTGACCTAAATCAATCATACACTTTACATAAATTACGTTCTTGAATTGAATTTGACGACTTTTTCGTCATTTCATGTACACGTTGACGTTATTATATAATAAAGTTTGTGCAAGCATCATATCCCGAGCCTCGTTCCGTCCACTTCGTGCCTTTAAATAGTCAAAATTTCGCAACATGTATATAGCTTGTCCCGGTTGTAAACTAGCTGAGATAAATGATTTTACTTAAATAAAATACAACAAAAATACCAAATACAAAATCTATCCCGACTGTATTCTTTTTCGGGTATTTATCATACAGTTATGATTATGACAGATAGAAATCATAAAACTTCATCTAAAACGGGGACAAAAATTGAAAAAAAAGAACAAGAACGTGTTTGTTAAACACAAATGCCCCCGGCCCCGATTCTTGTCAGTAGCAATATTTCAAAATATATTTACCCATTCACTCAGTTATTGACAGAAACATTGTCAAAAAAAAATGTTAACACAAGTTATATAGCTTGACAGAGTCATGGCATTTTGTAATTTTGAAATATATAAGTTGCCAAGTCATTGCTATGACTTGTGAAGTGATAAATATTCAACTTTATCAAATATATATAAATGTAAGAAATCTATACTTGGCACCCTTGACCTTGAACCACTGACATATATCATGCAAGTTATCCTCCTACCAAATATGAAATACATCTGTTAAAAAATAAAGGCTGTATGAGCAAAAATGTTAAAATCTACTTTGAGCATTGATGACCTTGATCAAACTGACCCCTAGCTCCATCCAAAGGAAAAATACTATGCAAGTTATCTTCCAACCAAATATGAAATAAATCTATCAATAAATAAAGGCTGTATGGGCAAAAGTGTAAAAATCTATTTTTAGCACTAGTGACCTTCACACACTGATCCCTAACCCAATCAAGAGGAAGAATACCATGCAAGTTATCTTCCTATCAAATATAAAATACACCTGTCAATAAATAAAGCCTGTATGGGCAAAAGTGTAAAAAATCTTTTTTAGCACTAGTGACCTTGACCCACTGATTCCTACCCCAATCAAAAGGATGAATACCATGCAAGTTATCTTCTTACCAAATATGAAATATATCTGTCAATAAATAAAGGCTTTATGAGCAAAAGTGTTAAAATATATTTTTAGCACTGGTGACCTTGACCCAACTGACCACTAACTCCATCAAATTTTATGTTCCTATCAATTATAATGACCATCTGTCTATAGAATACGGTTAATACACCTGTAACAATCTATTTTTAACATTGGTGACCTTGACATTGGTGACATTTACCTTGACCCAAATGACCCCTAACTATACCCAAAGAAGGAGGACCTCCCTTGGCATGTTTTTTTTTAAACATGAAAGACATCAACCAAACAATAAAGGCTGTCAAAAGGCTGAGCAAAAATGTTTAAATTTATTTTCTGAACCAGTGACCTTGACCTTGACCCTAGAGACCACTTACTCCACAAAAATGTGAGGACCATTAAAGGTATCCACCTACCAAATATGCAAGATATCATTTAATAAAATAATCAATTAAGAGAAATTAAGGATAAATCCAACTTGCCGGAATAGGTTAACCAGACAAGGCCCTATTTTCAAAGTGAAAAAAGGGAAATAACTGGGAAATATGGATGACACAGTTATATAACTTGGCAATAACATGTCATTTGTATTGATAAGTAAGTGTGGAAATTATGAAGCCATTAGTATAGATAGAACTTAAGATATTTACAATTTGCCGTTTTAGGTTAACCATTATTCATTTTCTAAGTTCTGAAAAGGGCAATAACTTGGTGAATATGGAAGCCATAGTTATGTAACTTGACCAGATCATGTACTTTGTATTGATTAGTAAGTGTGTAAACTAAGAAGCCATTGGTAAGGTAGAACTTAAGAAAAATCCAACTTGCCGTCCTAGGTTAACCTCGTACGGAGAGACGGACGGACGGACGGTTCAATTACTATGTGCCCGGGGGCATAAAAAGAAAAATCATAATTTTTACTGCAACCGGTATCCCATCCAAGTACTAACCGGGCTCGACGTTGCTTAACTTTTTACAACGTGATATGGCCGTATATATTAGAATGTAATTCTTTACGGCTTATATACGAGAATTTCGCTGATACTATAATGTACTTCCGGTTTGCCCTTTAAAATAATAAAAGTCGGACATGTTCAAACATTAATATAGTACTATCCTTTATGCTCATATATGGAACTATTTATGGTACATAAATGTACACCCGTACGCACGAGCAACAGACTAACTCACATACGATTCTGTACGTCTGTTTGTCCTTGACAACGATCGCATAATCACTGTTACGGTGTGCCAGTGTAGTACCGATAGCATTAGTTTGAGAAAGAAAAAAAATCTTTTTTCTAAAAGGCCGTTTGCCTCCAAAGATCAATAACTGTAACGAGATACCAAACATTAGAAGATTTTGAGAAATAAAATTGCTAGCATTTCTAAGGAATAATGAGCCTTTAATTCGCGAGCTTGATTTAATGTTTTAATTAGATAAAGGTTAGCGCAGACCCCGACACAAATAAATTGCGCACCCGAGTTACCCGCATTAGGGGTAATCGCAGGCTTCAACCCAACAATTTTAACAACAACAATCAATTAACAACACACGTCGTTTCCGTGCATGATCGTCATCAACAATGCAGATACCAAAGATAAACGGGATACTGTATGTTAATTTCACTAAAATGATGGATAAAATTGACAACTCTGTGGTTAGTGATAATTTAGAGTTTGGTTCAGATGCCTTAGGTATACTAGGACATGCATACAAGTTAATAAATGTGCGTCGTAAAGAAATGCATCAGGCAGATTTAGACAACATAAACATTTATGTTCTACCGATGTTTCTTTTACTGACAAACTGTATGGTGATGATGTATGTAAAAACGTCAAAGAAATTCAAGATATGAGCAAGATATGAGTCGTGTTGGGAAGCAGTTGTCTGTACTGTCAAGATTAAGGGCTCGAAAAGAGGCCGTCAATATCCCTCAGGGCCTTATGGCAATTTCCGAGGAAGAGGCGTGGTGGACGTTACCAAACATTGACGAGTAGTTCTAATTTCGTATATTTTTCGTGTATACTCTGTCTGCTGTTGTTGTTTTCTTCTCTTTTCAGGATGATGGCAGTTTGTCTCTTTGGTGTTTATTTACTCCTTCGAGATGGTGGTGTCATCCTGGAAAGAGGAGCAAACTTTGTATATGTCTGTATATTGTATTTACATAAAGTATTTTCTTTTATTTTGTTTGTGGGGAGCTGTGTGGGACAGATTGAGCCCAGTTTGCACACTTTTGCTTGGTCTGTCTCATATGGTTTTCCCGAAACATTCCACTTTCGTTACGTTTATTTTTAAATATAGTTTTGTTTTCATCATAGCACATACCTGTTTCGTATAAAAACATTTAGAGATATCGTGTATATATTTATTTATTTCATAAATCATTATACAATGTAACCCAGTCTAGGGATCATTATTTCATTCATTTATTTCTATATATTATCATTCTCATATCACTCACTTTCATTGTATATGTAACCCAGTTTGGGACCATTACCTCATATCAATCATTTCCTTCATTATTATATACATGTTTCATCTAAAGTATTTTTCTTTGTATATTTTCAGGTATGTGTGTTTTCATTTATGCGGCTTTGGGATCATATTTTTTTTTCTCCTAACCTTTCTTTTTTAAGATAAAGTTGTGTTTCGTATTCAAATTTCTTAGTGACTTTATTTTATATTTATATATCACGTTTTTGTCAGACGGGGTTCGGCGGTGATTCCTCGAGTCGGCTGTTTTTCTCAGGCTTCGAGACAGTCGGCTGGGGGTGTCATTCGCCGAGGCCCGTCTGAGTCTCACACCTTATCAGTGGCGTAAGGCTTGGGCCTATTTCGCGCCACCCCGAGATTGTGGACTTTACCCACCCAGAATCTTGGGGTTGCGCGATCTGGGGGTTTCTTGTCTTGCGTTATTACATTGTGAAGATTTTCTATTACTTTTTAACTTTTCTATCTTCCAAAACTATATCAAATGTATCTTTCTTCACTTTAAATAAAACGTGATTCAAATTCATTTAACGATTTATTAAATATAGAAATACCAAAACTTTATCTTTCATAATAATTACTAACATATATTGTAAACCCGGTTTCTTTTATTTGTACCTTTGAAATACACACGTCTTCTTGATTAAATTTCTAGTTTTATTTTGTTAAATTAAATACTATGATAATTGTAAAGTGAATAAAATAAAATGGCATACAGTGATACAGGACATTACAAAAACATTTACTCAGTACTTTTATTTCTTATTTCGTTGTTCAGTGGTAAGAAAAGGCGATTTTAATCACAACAAGCTAATAAAAATGTCGGTTCAACGTACTGAATATGTTTTCCGTACGTCGGATGGTAGCTCGAATTCGGAATTCAGTTAAAAAAAGAGCGGGAGATGACCGTTGTTGTAGCGGTCATATATTAGTTTTAAGAATACATAGAGCCTATGACTGGCGATTCTTTTTACTGATTTTGGGCGTTTGGCTCGTGGTGTGAGAATTGCACACAGGGGCGGAGTATATCTGAACTGCTAACCGGGAGACTGTTGTAATTTAGTGGAATAAAATGTTTCATTGTCGGAGTTGAGGCATACTTACCTGGTACAGAAGCTACCGCGATTAGTATATTTCTATAACGATTTTCGTTTAGATATCTATTTCAGAATGCCTGTGGTTGTGCGAAAACCTTGTTTGAAGACGAGCTATTTTGATGCACATGATGTTGAGAACACGATAAAAGTATGGAGTAGCGGCTTCACTTCTATTCAAGACGTTGTGAACTTGATGAAAATGTTAGACATCCCGTCTACTCGTGTGGTTGCTTTGCAGAAAGGGAAGGATAGCCGTGATGGGGTACTTTTGGTTTTGAAGGAGAAAGATGACGTTGAAAAGGTGAGAAGCCAACCTTATTATATGATAGGAAACAAGCGCCTTAATATTATCTCCCTTGATAAGCAAATTGTTTATTTTCGTTTGCATTGGCTGCCTGCTTATCTTACATCAGAGAGCATTGTAGAAATATTTAGTGAATATGGCAATATC